ATGGCGGGGAACCTGGCACTCTGACTGTGGATTACCAAAGCTGGCTCTTGGGACATGGAACATAATCTCTTTGGTGGAGGAAGGAGCCTGAGCTTGTGCATGAGGTTAAGAGGTACTAACTACATAGTTGGGCTTACCTCAATAAACAGTATAGGCTCCAGAGCCAACCTCCTTGAGAGGGGCTGAACCTTATCCCACTCTGAAGTTGCCCATGGTGAGAGCTGCTGAGCTGCTGTGGGTCTAATCTTAGTCCCCCGTCTTGGTGCCTTTGTGTTGCAGTTTTCCCTGATAGATGAGATGGTAGCTTCCCTGCACCTTTGCGTGGGGGAATGAGTTCTAATGGTAGTTTGTGCCTACATGCCAAATGGCAGTTCAGAGTATCCAGCCTTCTTGGAGTCATTAGCAGGGGTGCTGGAAGGTGCTCCAGCTGGGGACTCCTTTATTCTGTTGTGGGACTTCAATTGCCCATGTGGGTAACGGCAGTGAGATCTGGAGGGGTGTGAGTGGGAGGAATGGCCTCTCTGATCTGAACGTGAGAGGTGTTTTGATGTTGGAATTCTTTACTAGTTATGGTTTGTCCATCACAAACACCATGCTTGAACATAAGGGACATAAGGGTGTCCATAAGAGCACTTGGCACCGGGATGCCCTAGTTTGTAGATCAATGACTGTATGTGTGTGTGTGTGTGTGTGTGGGGGGGGGGGGTAGCGGTACACCACCAACACTGTTTATAGTGGGGGGTGGTGTGCTGCTGACCTCAACTCGGGATGTCGTGGGTCGGTGGACAGAATACTTTGAAGACCTCCTCAATCCCACCAGCACATCTTCCACTGAGGAAGCGGAGCCTGGGGACTCTGGATCGGGCCCTCCAATCACCTCGGCAAGGTCACCGAGGTGGTTAAAAAGCTCCTCGGTGGCAAGGCCCCAGGGGTGGATGAGATTCGCCTGGAGTTCCTTAATGCTCTGGATGTTGTAGGGTTGTGTTGGCTTACGCGACTCTGCAATATTGCGTGGACATCGAGGGAAGTTCCCCTGGATTGGCAGAACGGGGTGGTGGTCCCCCTATTCAAAAGGTGTGTGTTCCAACTACAGGGGGATCATGCTCTTAAGCCTCCCTGGTAAGGTTTATTCGGGGGTTCTGGAGGGGAGGGTCCATCGGATAGCCGAAACTCGGATTCAGGAGGAGCAGTGTGGTTTTCGTCCTGGTCGTGGAACACTAGACCTGCTCTACACTCTCAGCAGGGTCCTGGAGGGTGCGTGGGAGTTTGCCTAACCGGTCTACATGTGCTTTGTGGACTTGGAGAAGGCGTTCAACCGTGTCCCTCGGAGAACCCTGTAGGGGGTACTCTGGGAGTATGGGGTACTGGGCCCTTTGATATGGGCTGTTAGGTCCCTGTATGACCGGTGTCAGAGCCTGGTCTGCAATGCTGGAAGTAAGTCGGGCTTGTGTTGGACTCCGCCAAGGTTGCCCTTTGTCACCGATTCTGTTCATAACTTTTATGGACAGAATTTCTAGGTGCAGCCAAGGTGTTGAAGGGATCCGTTTTGGTGGCTTCAAGATTGCGTCTCTGCTTTTTGCAGATTATGTGGTCCTATTGGCTTCATCAGATCATGATCTACAGCTTTCGCTGGAGCGGTTCGCAGCCGAGTGTAACACGGCCAGGATGAAGATCAGTTCCTCCAAATCTGAGGCCAGGGTCTTGTTCACGAATGAGGGAAAAATGGAACGTGAGATTGATAGGCGGATAGGTACAGCATCTGTAGTGAAGCAGGTGCTATACAGGTCTGTCGTGGTGAAGAGAGAGCTGAGTCAAAAGGTGAAGCTCTCAATTTACCGATCGATCTACGCTCCTACCCTCATCTATGGTCATGAGCTTTGGGTTGTGACCGAAAGAACGAGATCTTGGATACAAGCGGCCGAAATGAGTTTTCTCCTTAGGGTGTCTGGGCTCTCCCTTAGAGATGGGGTGAGAAGCTTGATCATCCGGGAGGGACTCAGAGTAGATTTGCTGCTTCTCCAAGTCGAGAGGAGCCAGTTGAGGTGGCTCGGGCATCTGTTTAGGCTGCCTCCTGGACGCCTCCCTGGTGAGGTGTTCTGGACACGTTCCACCGGGAGGAGACCCAGAGAAAGACCCAGGACACGCTGAAGGGACTATGTTTCTCGGCTGGCTGTTACCCCCACGACCCAACCCCGGAAAAGCGGAAGAAAATGGATGGATGGATGTTTTGGACATTTGGTTGAAGAGAGGAGCTGAGCTATCAACTGATCACTACCTGGTTGTGAGTTGGATCAGATGGCAGGGGAAGATGCTGGACAGACCCGGTAGACCCCAAATTGTTTTGAGAGTTTGCTGTGAAGGTCTGGCAGAAGAACCTGTTAGATAGATTTTCAAAACACATGCTTCAGGGAGAGCTTTAACCACATCCCAGCTGAGGCAGGGAGCATTGAGTCTGAGTGGGCCATGTTCTGCAACCCAATTATTGAGGTGGCTGCCTTGCGCTATGACTGCAAGGTTGCTGGTGCTTCTCAGGGTGGTCATCCTCCAACTCAGTGTTGAAAAACCCCAGGTTAGAGAGGCAGTGAAGCTGAAGGAGCCCTATCGGTCTTTGTTGACTGGTGAGACTCTAGAGGCAGTTGAGGAGTAATAGAGAGCCAAGTTTGCCCCAGCCTTGGCTGTTGCTGAGGCAAACGATCAGATTTGGGAAGAGTTTGGTTAGGTCTTGAATAGAGACTTTAGAGTAGCTTCAGTGATATCCTGGCAAACCATCAGGTGGCTGAGGAGGGGAAAGAAGTGCTTTACTAACACAAATTTCAGTGAAGGTGAGGTGCTATTGGCCTCAACCACTGATGTCATAAGGAGGTGGAAGGAATACTTCTTGTACCTTCTAAATCCCACCATCATGTCTTCCACGGAGGAAGCTGAGGTGAGGGACTTCAGGGCTGGTCTGTCTATAACTGGCTGAGGTCACTGAGGTAGGTAAAAAGTTCCGTGGTGACAGGGCTCCCAAGGTGTATGAGATCTGCCAAAATTCCCTTAAGGCTCTGAATGTAGGGCTGTCTAAGCTGACACACATTTGCAACAATTCATGGACAAAAGGGGCAGTGCCACTGGTATGGCAGAGGTGGTTCCCCTCTTCAGAAAGGGGGGGGGGGGGTAGAGAGTGCTACAATTATTTTACAGTACATATAACAGTAATGCAATATTAACATAATAACAATAAAATAATATTATATATAACAGGTCTCTCTTGAAAATGTGTCCTCGTGACTCAACGAGACTAACCTGTATACTTAAAGGTTGAATGAAAATATGTACATCACTCTTCTTAGCCCCCCTGGTAAGGTTTATTCAGAGGTACTGGAGAAGCAAGTCCGACCATTGGTTGAACCTCAGATCCAGGAGGAACAATTCAGGTTCAGTCCTGGCTGTGGAACACTAGACTAGCTCTTTACCCTCACTGGGGTCCTCAAGAGGTCAAGAGAGTTTGCCCATCCAGTCTACATGTATTTAGTTAACTTGGAGAAGGCGTTCAACCATGTTCCTCTGGGTACATTGTGGGGTTGCTCTGCAAGTATGGGATTGAGGGTCAGTTGTTATAAGCTTTTTGCTCCCTGTACAATCTCTGTGACAGTTTGGTTCACATTGCCAGCAGTAAGTCAGACCCCTTCAAGATGGGAGTTGGACTCTGCCAGGTCTGTCCATTGTCACCAATTCTGTTCATAACTTTCATGGACAGAATTTCTCTGTGCAACCAGGGGGCAGAGGGTGTCATGTTTGGTGGCCTCAAGATTCCATCTCTATTTGCAGATGTTGTGATCCTGTCAGCATCCTCGTGCTGTGATCTTCAGCTCTCACTGGAGCGGTTCACAGCCAAGTGTGAAGAAGCTGGGATGGAAATCTGCACCTTCAAATCTGAGGCCATGATCCTTAGTGGGAATAAACGTGGATTGCTCTCTTCATGTCGAGGGTGTGGTTCTGCCACAAGTGAAGGAGTTCAAGTGTTTTGGGGTTTTGTTCACAAGTGAGGGAAGAATGGATCATGAGATTAACAGACGGATCGGTGCAGCATCTGCAGTATTGTAGACTCTGCGCCATCCTGTTTTGGTAAAGAGGTCTACGGTCCTACCCTCACCTATAGCCACAGACTTTGGGTAGTGACCGAAAGAACTTTATCATGGATACAGGCAGTTGAAATGAGTGTCCTTCGAAGGGTAGCTGGACGCTCCCTTACAGATAGGGTGAGAAGTTCAGTTATTTGGGAGAGACTCGGAGTAGAGCTGCTGCTCCTCCTCATCGAGAGGAGCCAGTTGAAGTGGTTCAGGGCAACAAGTAGGGATGCTTCCTGGGCGCCTCACCTGGAGACCCCAGGGACATGACCCTGCCCCAGGACATGCTGGAGAGACTATATCTCTCAGTTGACCTGGTAATGCCTTGGAATCCTCCCAGAAGAACAGGAAGCGATAGCTGTGGAAAGAAATGTCTGGGCCTCCCTGCTCAAGCTGCTGCCACTGCAACCCGATTTCAGAACAAGTACTTTGTAGAAAGTAATGGATGGATGGACCTTTCTCATACCTAGATGTAACCACACACCAAAATGGAAATCGGCACATAGCTTATGTTTTAAGTTATTCGACTCACATGACAGATTTTCAATTCCCCCTTTTTGCTTCACGACGAGGGAGAAAAAATTAAAATGAATGTGGGTCCTGTAACTTGAAGCTATGCAGGAATTTTTTTTTTTTTTAATGCACAATGAGATAATCAAGCTAGAATGTGAAAGATGTAGATATCATGACTGGAAATTAAAAGATAATAAAAGGAAAAATAAAATACACCCCCTCTTATGCCCCACATATAACATTTGATTTATTGGATCAACTGTGCTTTCCAGACCAGCTGCTCCTTTTTATTTCTTTTATCCCTGAGCAGCAGCTGGAAGCCCCTGGCAGATGGACAAAGACAAAGTGACTGGCAGGCAGACATGTCATCTTTCATACCTGTGTACTCCAAGTGGAAACCAGCAGCAGACACACTGATGTCAGACTGGAAGGTCAAGTACAGGTTGTTGGATGTACTGTTTAACAGCTGGGGGATCGTTGTACCTGAATTATACAATAGAGAATGCAGTTCAGCTCATTCCAAGTCTACATTATAAATTATGTAAAGCATGACATGATTGCCACATATTATTATTAAAACAATAATAGCTGGACTATAGGAAGCACTCCACCTTCTCTGTTTACTGCTCAATTATTTTTCACAGATCATGAATTCAAATTTCAAATCAAAAACATTTAAAACATTCACTCTGAATATGTGACAACAATCATGTCAGAAATGTTTTTTTAATCAATGTGTTTGTCTTTAGATATCTGCAAAGAGATTTAGACAGTATAATCATAATAATCTTTTATCAGTTTAGCTCAAGGTAAAACTGATTTATATCCATTTAAAAAGCTTTAACCTTTTCACACCGTATTGTGCTCCACACAGCTGGATGTGTCCTGAGGACCTGTTTCACTATTCAAAGAGCTTTGTTCTAAAATGAGATATTCACCTTTTGAAATTTCTGACAGCTCATCTCATAAAACTGATATTGCGGCAGAAGTCATTATGCTGCACCAGTCCTTCTTATATTAGGATTTTGCATCTAAAATAATGAGATGGCCCGTTTCTTGTTGGTTACCATGTGGCATGTGCACCATTTTCATTAATGTGAGCCCTATGGCAATGCTATATTTGTAAAATTCCTGACTGAAATGGGGCTTACATAATGAAAATATCTGCTGCAGAGACCAGAGCATTGTGTGAGGAAGGAGGAAGATGTATTTCTTTTCTTTCTCTGACTTCTCGAAGTGAGTTTTACACAGCCTTCTCAAAGGACATGGCAAATGTCATCAGCCCCATCATTCCATCTGTCTGCTGCTGGATCCTTGCAATGTCTGATTGAAATTCAAGTGGGAGCCGACAACTCAAATACAGTTAGATCAGATTTACCTGAGTAGCTACCAAGCCTTGGAGCATTGGCATCAACCCCATCAAAAAAGTCCAGAGAATCCCAGTTGTGTTCTGTGGCGAAGGTCACAACTTGTATCTGACAAGAAAAAAAGCCTTAATGCACTCATAAAAACAAAATTTGATAACTGACCTATATGTTAATGATGATAATAAAAAAATCTATCAAATATGACCATCTCACTTGTATGCCGGCTCCTTCAGGGACAGAGATTCTCCAAGCACAATTCAGATAGTTGGAGTACGTTTCTGGGTATCCAGGAGAAAGGATTGTACCGCGGCGCTCAGTCAGCACCCCACCACAGGGAACTGGACCAAGACAAGATGAGAGAAGAAAGGAAAAGAAAAATTAAGGAAACAATAGTCATACAAGCTAAAAACTGGAAAGCCTTCAGAGTCAGGCTTTTATGAATGGCTAATAAATTAATTTTAAATAAGCAACTCTAATATCCCTCCATGAGCCAGAACTTAATTTAAAGCAAACGTCAGAGTTCTTTGATAATGTCTGACCTGACAGTGCATTGTCACTAGAATTTAGTTGGCACCAATGGCAGCTTTTAACACTCAGTTATCTCTTGTTCCGTGCAGAAATAAACAGTTAAAACCTAGTGTGTAATTTTACTTTTTATAGCTCAAACAAATGGCCTTTTTTCCAATTGCTGAAGCTTTTCCATGTTCTCCATATCTCCTCCAGGGCTCTAAATAAACTTTTTTTTTTTTTTTTGGCTATTAGGCTTTCAGAAGCAATGCTGCTGACAGTGTTTGGCACAGTGACATTTGAGCAGGAGTGGAAATCCTAAATAATAAAAGAGAGGCAACAGCAACTGCAATTTCTTAAGTGCTTATCAGACAGGTGCCAATTGTCCTTGTATTTGGTCTAAAGCGCAGCCGAGTCTGGCTACACTCCGTTCATTAAGGGTTGTGTTAGGAGAGTTGTGTAACTCAGCATCCGTTGGGCTCAGCAGAACACAGAAGACACTGCTCTTCCTTGTAGTTTAACAGACAGCAGTGATGCTGGTTAATACAGACATTCTCCCCATGTTTCTATCTTTTCCTTTCATTGTTCTCATGACACCAGTAGGAAGAAAATATTTGTTAGGACAGCCTATATTTTTTTAACAGTAATTACAGATACAATAAACTTTAAACTGAAGCAGCATACATTCTATTTCTAAAGCACATTGATAAAAGAAGAAAGCTTTTGTTTTAGCCACCCCCCAAACATACACCCTAAACACAAAAGTTCTTTTATATCTTTAAATACATAATGACAGGTAAGAAAACTGATGAATCTTTCATCCTAACAGGTTAAGGTTGAAGAACTTTTGTACTCAAACAGTGTGGGATCAATGATAAGAGTGTCACTTCAAGGCAACCAACAGTGGAGTGGCTGAAAAGGGTTCTCACGATCAACAAGCAGGCTCTTTTTGTGATGGACAAAGGTATACTCTGTTCAGGTCTCCAATAATCACTGCTTTCAACATCTGTCAGCTACAAGGAAATGCCATCCTGAGCAGCACATTGGTGACAGTGGGAAGGAAAAACCTTCTTTATACAGGACGGAAAATCCTACAGAAACAGGCTCTTCAAGATCTGCCTAAATTGTTTGGGATTAGAGAGGACGGGAATACAAAGTCAAAACAAGACGCAAAGTGGCTGGTCAAGGTGTTGTTTCTATGATACACATGTGGTTTATTAACCTTTATTTAACCAGGTATATCCCAGTAAGAGCACATCTCTTTTTCAAGTGAGGCCAGGGCTTTAAGGTAGCCTATGCATGTTTTTGGACTGTGGGAGGAAACCAGAGTACTTGGAGAAAATCCATGCAAACAGAAGAAGAACACGTAAAGTCCAGACAGAAAATCCCTAGGCACAAACGAAGACTGAACCCAGGACTTGTTGCTGTGAGGTAACACAGTCTTTTGCCCTCATGGCATTAATCTGGCCTCCAGTTCTAATGTTAAAAATCTTGGTGTTATTTTTGATCAGGACATGTCTTTTATCCCCCACATTAAAAACATTACTAGAACTGCCTTCTTCCACCTGCGTAATATCACTAAAATTAGAAACAGATTATCTAAAAATGATGCAGAAAAACTGGTTCATGCTTTTATCACGTCTAGACTGGACTATTGTAATGGTTTATTATCTGAGTGTTCAAATACGTCTTTAAAACGTCTTCAGTTGATCCAAAATGCTGCTGCCAGAGTCTTAACTGGAGTTAGTGGGAGAGATCATATCTCTCCAGTTTTAGCTTCTCTCCATTGGCTCCCTGTCAAATCCAGGATATAATTCAAAACCTTACTTCTAACCTACAAAGCTCTCAACAACCTAGCTCCATCTTATATTACAGATCTTACTGTTTCATATTTTCCTAACAGAGCACTTCACTCTCAGACTGCAGGTTTACTTGTGGTTCCTAGAATTTACAAAAACAGAATGGGAGGCAGAGCTTTCAGTTATCAGGCTCCTCTCTTGTGGAACCAACTTCCAATCTCTGTCCATGAGGCTGACACATTGTCCAGTTTTAAGACTGGACTTAAGACTTTCTTTTTTGATAAATCCTATAGTTGGCTTGGGTTTCCTGAGCTGTCCCTTAGTTATGCTGCTATAAGCTTAGACTGCTGGAGGACAAACTGACCACACTTTTTCACCTGCTACTGTCTTTACTTACTCTGCTCAACCTGTTTTGTATCTGTAAAAAAAAATGTTTCTATCCTTAACATGTGTTTTTGTCTTTCAGGTACACCTGGACCTAACATTCTGTGTTCGTCTGTCTCTCTTTTTTGTCCTCTCAACCCTGCCGGTCAAAGCAGATGGCCGCTTGTCCTGAGTCTGGTTCTGCTGGAGGTTTCTTTCTTTTAAAAGGGAGTTTTTCCTTTGCACTGTTGCCACAGTGCTTGCTCAGGATGGGAGACTGCAACAAAGCCAATATTCAACTTGTCTGCTGGATTCATTAAATAGAGAACTTTACTAATTGGCTTTTATGTATGTGAATGTTCTTGTAAAGTGCCCTGAGACAACTATGTTGTGATTTTTCAATATAAAAATAAACTGAATTGAATTGAATATCTATATTCACTATATCGCTGTGCTGCCAAACGTTTCTGTGGTCCAGGTATAGACCCAGTAGGGAAAAGGACAAAGAAAAACACATCTTAACAGTAGAAATAATGGAAAATACAAACAAGAAAAGCAGAGTGTGTAAAGAAAGCAGCAGAGTGAAAATATGTGGTCATTTGGTCATCCAGCAGTTTAACCCTGTAGTAGAATAACTAAGGGATAGCTCACAAAACTCACGTCAACCCTAACTATAGGATATATCAAAAAGGAAAGACTTAAGCCTAAACTAAAAATTAGACAATGTGTCAGCTTCATGGACAGAAACTGCAAGTTGGTTCCACAAGAGAGGAGCCTGATAACTCTGCCACCCATTCTACTTTTAGAAACTCTAGGAACCACAAGTAAACCTGCAGTTTGTGAGTGAAGTACTCTGTTAGGAACATATGGAACAATAAGAGGTTGTTGAGAGCTTTGTGTAAGATTTTGAATTATTTTCTGAAACTGACAGGGAGCCAATGGAGGGAAGATAAAATTAGATAAGTAAGATCTCTCCTAACTCTCATTAAAACTCTGGCAGCAGCATTTTGGATCAACTGAAGACTTTTGTGTGTGTGTGTGTGTGTGTGTGCGCCCATATATTAAATAATCACAATAGTGAGAGTAGTAGAACTGACAAATGAATAGACCATTTTTTTTCTGCGTCGTTTTGGACAAGATGTTTCTAATTTTAGTGATATTGTTCAGGTGGAATAAAACTCTCCAGGTAACATTTTTAAAGTGGGATGTGTGACTAAATGAGACCTGAGACAAGGATTTATTATTATTTTTTAACCATCAGCTAATCATCAACTCTAACTTACAGTACCGGTAATTACCAATAACAATCTTTATTCTCCTGGTGCCTTCCTTTCTGCCAAGAGATGCTTGGAGAGCGAAGCCACAGAGCCTACTTTGTTCTTATCCTTCTGAGTGACACAAAAAAGAAAATGACTTGCGTACTAGATCTCAAAGTAATCACACAGTGGAGAAGTCACACTTTCATATCACCACCACAGCATGAACCTCTTCTGCACTGCTTTGTCTTGTGTAGGCAGTTCAGTTCTTCTGACTTTTATTAACTTTGAAATCACAGCTGAAGAAACCTAGCTCATGCAAGTGTTTTGAAGACAGCTTTGCAAATAAAAATGGAAGATCAGTGAATATCTAGACTATTGCAATACAAATGCCACTTCCTATGGACATAATGTTCAGGTTTCTTAGAAATACAAAAAAGGTTTTAAAACTAAAACATGACAGGTGACCAGACTTTCTACATCATTAACTTTCTGATAAATAATGTCTTGCTGATTCTCCAAAATAATAAATTAGAGCTATTTTGCAGAACTAAAGTTGTGTAACAGATGATAAAGATGATGGCACGTTCTTCAGGAGGACACTGAACTTGACTTTGTGCCAAAAAAAGCTCATTACCATATGATTGAAAGGGCAAATGTGCTAAATACAAAGAGGATGAACACAAAAAAAATAAATAAACAGTACACTGATGTCCCACGTCGTTGACGGATTTAGATAGTGAATGTTTGTAGTTTACAAGATTAGTGTTTTTTCTGGAATGGAATTGAACAAAGGGTGCAAGTAAACAGTGTTTTTGGATATCCTGATGCATGATCAATGATCTAGGTAGAAAATCTAAAAAAAAAAACTTAAGTCTGTTCCTCTGGACGGGTTCAAAAGTTTTGGAGAATACTGTTCAAGTTAGCAGGAGTTACACTGTGAACAAGAACATAGGTGTTTGTGTTTCTTTTTTATTTGCTTGAATGAGGCAGCACAGAGTGACGGATCCTTGCAATTGTAGGGAGCAAATTTATCTACCACCGTGCAATGGTGGAGTCAGGGGTGGCCACTGATGGCCTCAGATAGCACAGATGAAATTTAAAACCCCAAGAGCCATCCTTATCATTTGAGGAAAATGTAACGTAAAACAATTTATTGTCTGTGT